GATGCATTTATAAGTCCTGTGTGCTCTGCCGCCTCCATACCTGTCTAGTCTGATTCCTCGCTGCTCACTACCTTGTGTTTTGGCTCCCGCTGAACTAACCCCCCTGGAATGTCCACAGTGTGCCCTTCCTGAAACACCCTCTGACGCCTTCATTTTGCCTGGCTAATGCATGCCCTTTGGGTCTCCTTCATTCATGATCCAATGCTGTGTCCTTGAGGAAGTCTGTTCTGTCCCCCTGCCTTCCTGTGTGCTGCCAGAGCCCACCACCGGTCCTGATCGGAGTGTTGGTCCGACAGGCTGTAATCACCTGGCCCATAGCTGGAGGGAGCTGAGGTAGGTCCGCCCCAGTGCCGGGCCCTCACCCCCACAGAGTGGGTGCTCACTGAGTCCTGACCCCGGTACCTCCTTGAAAGAGAAATCGAGTCGGTCCTTTTTTATGATCTGGAATCTACTCTCACCACCCGCTGAACTCTCTTGAAGGTTGCCAACCACTTAGGTTTGCCCTCTTTCCCCTCAGTCTTGTTGCAGCATTTGCCACTGCTAAATACCTCCGTGCGATTCCCTCCTCCCAAATCTCCTGTGCCCAGCCTGTGCGCTTCCCCAGCTTACGTAACTCTCTTTATTCCTCTCCTCTGGCTCCTGTCCTTCTCCAAGGATGTCCTGCCTTCCCCCACTTCTGCACTGAAACTTTCTCTCTGCTCCACTCGTGCAGCTTCACCTGTCACCTGCGTGCAGATAAATGGTTCCCAGTCAGTCTGTGTCACCTGGATCCCTCTCTTGAGTCTCACATGTGTTTCCAACAGTGCAGTTGACACCCTCACCTGTATGCACTTTCAGGGCTTTAAAGCCCACCTGTCCAGAAGCCAGCTTATCATGATCACTTTGCTTGTTCGAGCCCTAAGTACTCTAAGTTCTTCTCATCTGGTTGACTCTTAACAATGGTTCAATAAACAGTGGTTGAATTGATTACCTAGAAAAGAGAAGGGTCATGTCTTTTCCCACCTCATCTAACCAATCTTCTCACCTCTTCTCTCTCCCACTTAGTGCTTTCATTGAGCCCAGTTTGTAAACACATATTGAATACCTACTGCTGTCAGATAGTTTTTCTAAAGCACTGTTCTAGTCATTTTTTTTTTTTTTCTTCTCAGCTCAAACCTGCAGGGCTTCCCTTTGCCTACAAAATTGGGTAGAAATTCCTCAGCTGGACCCAGACCACTGTAAAAAGGGCATCAGCTGCTTTCCGACCATTCCTCTTTCGTTCTTAACATTCAGGCCCAATCCCCCACCTGTCACTCCTCTTGCACACTGTACCTGTGCTGCACAGTAAGTAGCCATTAGCCACCTGCAGCGATTTAAACTTAAATAAAAATTAAACACAATTTACAGTTCGGTTGCTCAGTCACACTGGCAGATTTCAAGTGCTCGATAGCCACATGTGGCTAGTGGCTGCCTCGGAGACAGCATGGATNCTAAAGCACTGTTCTAGTCATTTTTTTTTTTTTTCTTCTCAGCTCAAACCTGCAGGGCTTCCCTTTGCCTACAAAATTGGGTAGAAATTCCTCAGCTGGACCCAGACCACTGTAAAAAGGGCATCAGCTGCTTTCCGACCATTCCTCTTTCGTTCTTAACATTCAGGCCCAATCCCCCACCTGTCACTCCTCTTGCACACTGTACCTGTGCTGCACAGTAAGTAGCCATTAGCCACCTGCAGCGATTTAAACTTAAATAAAAATTAAACACAATTTACAGTTCGGTTGCTCAGTCACACTGGCAGATTTCAAGTGCTCGATAGCCACATGTGGCTAGTGGCTGCCTCGGAGACATTCCCATCCTCACTGAAAGTTCTTTGGGCAGCGCTGGTACCTTTTGTTTCCATTCCTCCCAGCTCCCCTTCTCCCCCGTCTCCTCCCCTCTGGCCATCTCTACCTGTAAAAATCTCTCCCTCTACCAGGGGCTCCCACCCCGCATTCCTCCTCCACACAAGCTACCCCTCCCTTTAGAGCCTTGGTAGGGTTTGATCTGTGTTTCCTTTATGAAACCTACACATTTCCCCTCATACTGTAGTTCTTATTTCACTTCCAGGACTGAACTGGAAGACTTTTTGAGGTAAAGACTACATTCATGATCTTATTATTGCACAGTGTACTGGGAGTTTCAATAAACAATTGTTGAATTGAATACCTAGACAAGAGAATGATTCTTCTTTTATTTCTGAAATTAGTAAGCACGGTGAAATGTCTTGCCATTGCGTTTTCCCCCTTTCTCTGTGATCGCAGGCCTCTTCTGCCAGACGAGGCACAGTGCAGTCCCCATGCCTTGCCTGCCTGTGCAGGTGGCCTGGGCGGCACATTCCGTCTGAGAGCCAGTATTGCCGACACCAGCGCCAAGGAGAGCGGCTGGCTGCGGAATACGAATGGTCCTCTGGCCAGGGCTGTGGGTCAGCACGTAGGAGGCGGAATTTCAGGGAGGGAATGATGGATGGAAAACTGAGGGGCAGGCAGAGTGCAAACTGCAAACCTTAGAGAAGTGACCCCAGAAGAAATGGGTGGAACAATGGAAGCAAACCAAGCCAGGGAAATGGTTTAAATTGCTTACGGGGTGGGGAGCCACAGTTAGACCCTGGAGCAACTTTCTGGGTGGTTTGTCACTGCCTCGCTCTGTGTGTTCATTGTGGCTTTTTACTTAGCCACAGTCACCTGCCATGAAGAAGAGGTTCACATTCAAAACATTTGCCAGCCCAGTTTCAGACACGTTAGGGACATTCAGATGCTGGCCTCTTCTCTGATTTAGCCGACCTTGGAGCTAAAGAAGTTGCTGGTTATCTGTTCATTGACAGGAGTGGGGATGTCCTAAAGCTGAGTGTGTGTGCATGTGTGTGCACGTGTGTGCACGTGTGTTCTGTAGTGGGGTGGAAGCCTAAGCTACCAGAATAGGTTTATGAGCCCTTTGTTTTTCCAGGCTCGTTTTGCAGAGGGAGAAGCACTTCCATTACCTGAAAAGAGGCCTTCGACAGCTGACAGATGCCTATGAGGTAAATACATCGATCAGGAGCATTTTCTATCAAATTATCAGCCAGATAGTTCTTCCTTTTTTCTGTTTGAACATAAAAGACTTATGAGTGTGATCTGTTGTAGGTTCATGCATTGTACATGTGGCTCTGGCAGGAAGTGGGTACACAGGAGCCCAGGTGCTGCAGGGCTGGGACTCCCACTTCTGAAAGGGCAGAGCTGGGCTCTTCCTGTCCTGCGCTCCTCAGAGCTCAAGTGGCACCCTAGGTGGGGGCAGGCTTTCTTCCTTTGAGATCACAGTGGAAGGGGCCACGCACTTTCTTCTAGACACCCCTTAACCGCTAGCTAAAGGGCAGTTGTTACCCATTCATTCCTAACTCTTTGCCCTATAAGCTGATCTAATTCCTAGGCTGGCCAAAGGATCAGTATATAAATCCCAGAGAGTACTGCTGCAGGCCAAAGCCATAGCAGTGTCTTCCGTCACCACACCAGCTGTCCCCCAGGTGGCAATCTAGTCATAGCACATTTAAGTAGAGGACAGCATGGGCCAATGGGAGGAGCACTGGCTTGGGAGTCCAGAAACCTGGTTCTTGTCTCATCCCTCACATTTACTGTCTTTGTAATCTAGAAAAAGTTTATCTCTCTGGACCTCATTTATATACTTGAGATCTATAAATCGGGGGCAGTAATACTACCTGCCTGCCTGGCCTTGAATGCTCAGTACATGTTGTGGCTTGAATTAGGATCTAGTTCTCTTCACTTGTCACCTTTGGAAACCTTTCCCAGTGCCCCCAGGCAGTTAGTCAGCCTCTTCCATATGCTCCCTCAGTATTCTGTTTCTGCCCTTTACAGCATTTAGCCAGGGTGCCCCCCCCCCAAATATATACACACCTTAATAGCTGACAGCTCAGTTTTGAAAATGAAATGTAGTTTAATAAACACTGCCTTTATAATTATTCAAAGTGTGTATACATTTTGGGGGGACACCCTTTATGTACATGTGTTATGTTCCATTTTGTTCCAGAAAGACATGAGGTGACTTGTACTTATGTGTCTAGTGCCTTCTTCCTCTATAGATAACCACACACATTCTATATCCCAAGCATCTCAAGAGTAGGAACAGGATTTTACTCTTATTGTGCCCCCATTATCGAATACGGTACTTGGCACAAAGTAGATAGTTACTAAATATTTGTTTAATCAGCGAATTAGTTAATCCAGGAAACCCTTTCTGGGACTGTACCTCTCCTTGGGTCTACACTGACAGCGTCGCAGCGCTGACCTTCCTAGCCTGTGCCGAGTGCTCTGCTCAGCCTTCCTTAGGGGCCCGTCAGGGAAGGACCCTTTGGGTTCAAGGTAAACTTTGTCCCATTGTCTTTTCTCACATATGGTCATTTCAGCTGCTGGCTAAGGCCACAAGGCAAAGTGTCCTTCATTCACTGATTGTTTGCAGGGTGCCCTCCTCCCCCCCTTGCTAGGCTGCCAGCAGTGAGACAGCGTCTCCTTGTCAGCAGTCTCTTGGAACGACTCTGAATAGGGTGTGTTTTCTCCCCTGTTCCTGTCACAGTGTCTGGATGCCAGCCGCCCGTGGCTCTGCTACTGGATCCTGCACAGCTTGGAACTCCTAGATGAACCCATCCCCCAGATGGTGGCGACAGAGTGAGTCTGGCTGTGGGGACTCTAGGGTGTTCTCTGGAACTGTATTTTGAGTTTGGGGTGCTTTTGGTTTTGTTTCTGTTTTATTTATTTTAAATGAAAAACACAGACTGCTTCAAAGAAACCCATGCTTTTCTTGACCTCCAGTAACTCCCAGAAACTTCTCCACTTTAGAAGCCCATTATAAGCACGTGGGCAGAAAGAGACTTTGAACTCCCAAGAGAAGGATTCTGACTTCTTCTATGGGCTTTTCTTTGGCTCTTGTTCTAGTCTTTGAGAAAAATCTTTATCATCAATTCTGGGATGCATGATCTTGCCAGAAAGTGCATTTGAATAGCTCCTGTGGGGACACAAGTGCCAACTCAATGAACAGAAATGCCTTTGCCTCCCTTAAACACCTCCACAGAAGCCCCTCCCCACCAGTGCCTGGGGCACAGTGCAGCTCCCAGTGGCACTGAGTGTGTTATTGTCTTGGTGGGCAGATACCATGACTCACAATTTTCTTATGATTCGAGATCTAAGCAACTAAGATTCTTCCCAAACTGCCGGTGCAGATGGCATTCTCAGTGTGGTACCTCACCCTGAGAAGCTCATCACAATTTATATCTTAAAGAAGAAGAAACCAGTCATCACCCCAGTCTCAGGGATACCTGGGGGGAGAAAGGCAGCCAGGAATTGGATCCAGTGTCCCAGTTCTCACTGAGAGAGAGCACGTCCCCTCGGCAGCAACTTGAGTTCCTCCACTCCCCTTGGGGCTCTGGAGGGAGAGGAGTCTGGGAGGGGAGGCCCCCAACCAGGTTCCTTTCCCCACAGCACACAGGGGTGGCTGTACCAGGATGGGTGGAGGCCAGCTGTGCCCCTCCCTGGCCACAGTGCCCAGCATGGGTCACATTGTCAGGTCAGAGGAACAGAACCGTACATTGTCTCATTCATTCTGTCTTAACAATAACCTCTCATTCTTGCCTTCCTGGGCAGGGTGTCTTGTGATGAATGTGGATCGGGAAGATAATAAAGAATTAGGCCATTAACCCTTGTGACATATACGATGCTTTCTGAGGGAGAGGAAAAATATGCATTGTCTGCCTCATCAACGCTGTTGCTGCAAGGCTCCCTGCTTCTAGCTCGAAGCAGAGTTGGATGTAGTTCCTGCAGTAACAGGAATTTAATTGTTAAAATAAAGGCCCATGTGTTTTTGAAATACCAGTTGGGGGCTGTGGCTTCTTTGGGAAGTTTCTCCTCCACATATACACAGTCAGGATGTTTGGTAGGGGCATGGGAAAGCCCTATGGGAGAGAAAAAGGAAACGGGGCCATTGCGAGCGTGAAGTACAGATGCCCCCTGGAGGAGAACACAGACCGATCTGAAGTGGGAAGGTCGTGATCAAGGGGCTTCTTGGGTTGGCATCGATTTTGAGTTTTTTCTAGGTTGTTTATAGGTAAGGCTTTTCTGAGGAAATAAGCGTCAGAGCAGCTTGTGTGGCATCTGATTGATAGGAAGAGAGGACCCCTCTAAAGGGCTTTTCACACTGAGTGGAGACAACCTAGTTACAGTAATGGATGCTTTCAAGTATATTTAAAGTTTAAGTAAATTATGGTGCAGTGTGTAAAATGAAACACTGTGCAACCATTTAGAAATTGAAAAGTTGCCCAGGCAGCGTGGCTCAGTGGTCAAGCATCATCCATGAACCAAGAGGTCACTGGTTCAATTCCAGTCAGGGCACATGCCCAGGTTGTGGGCTCCATCCCCAGTAGGGGCGTGCAGGAGGAGCCAGTAGGTGTTTCTCTCATTGATGTTTCTTTCTCTCTATCCCTCTCCCTTTCTCTCTAAAATCAATAAAAACATAATTTAAAAAAAATTGAAAAGTTAGCAGTTGTTAACTAGACTTATTGTGGTGATCATTTGGCAATATATACAAATATCAAAATATTATGTTATACACCTGAAACTAATGTTATACATTGATTATTCCTCAATAAACAATTCTATATAAATGTATATAAAATGTATATATTTATATAGAGATGTTCATGATTTAAGTGCAAAAGGTAGTTTAAAAGATTTCACTTTTATAGATTAAAAATAGAGATGGTTATATGCATAGAAAAACCAGGAGGACATATATATACATGGTAGTCATTATTTCTGGATAGTGGGGTTAAAGGTGATTTTTTTTATAAACATATTTGCATTTTCTAAAATTTCTACAGTTGAACCTTCATTGTTTTATAATTAAAGAATGTTTTAAGACTGAAAAGCTGATTTCAAGATTGATAGTGAATGACAGAATTTCTGCTCCATGGCTGCCTGAAAAGCTTGCCTGTAGTTCTGTGGAGCACTGACTTAACACACTTTTAAAGAATTACTTGGAGCTCTGGCTGGGTGGCTCAGTTGGTTGGAGCATCGTCCTGCACACCTAAAAGGTCATGGGTTCAATTCCCAGTTAGGGTACATACCTAGGTTTCAGGTTCCATCCCCAGTTGGGGAGCATACGGGAGGCAACTGATTGATGTTTCTCTCTCACATCTTTCTCTCTCTTCCTCTCCCTCTAAAAATAAATAAAAACATATCCTCAGTTGAGGATTAAAAAAAAGTTACTTAGATTTGCCTAGCAGGCCGTTAATTCTAGGTGCTGATAATATTTGTTATAAACAGAGCTTACAAGGAAAGCAATTTTTAGTAAGATACAGAGAAATCTTAAGGACCTCTATAAAAATATGGGGATTTGTTTTTTTTAGACTACTTGATACAGGATATTGCCTTTTTATTTGTTTTGCACAGGGAAAAGAAATGCTTTGAAAATGTGAACAGATTTTTTTCTTCATACTGATACCAAGGTGACCTAGAGGCTGAGTTTAGCTCCGGAATTTTATTATTTCCTGTGCTCTTTTCTCCCCTCTCCCTCACCTAGTGTCTCACACACACACACACACACACACACACACACACACACACTCTCTCTCTCTCTCTCTCTCTCTCTCTCTCTCTTTTTCCTGTTTTGTTCACTGTTGTGCTTGTTTGTTTAGGGAACAAAATGCCATGCTGAGGTCCCTCTAGTGGGCAAAATCACTTTTGTTCTCTACTGTGACGGCTGATGAAAGCCAGCAAGGCCAGGTTTTTGCTGCTGGTGTCAGACCTTGCAAGAACAGAGTATACATAGGTAGGAATTTAGCGTGCCTCTCTTAAGAGATTGTATCCACAAATGTATACGTGTTTACCTAAAATGAATTAATATTTTGGAACCAGACTCAGTCCATTTGCTTGTTCATGATTTTAGCACCGAAGGAAGCGTCCTTAATGAGAGTCCCATGCTTTGTTACTGAAAGCCGCTCTAAGGACGTGCATGGATAAAATGAAAACCGCAGGGAGACCACGCGTTGTTGAGTTAGGCTTTTGGCTTCTGTAAGATCTAAAAATTGTCTTTAACTTAAAAATCGTTTTAGGACTTTTCTGCTTATAAAGTTTTTCCAAAAATTAAATTTAAATTTTCATGTGTCAGTGTTTTATTATTTAGCTCTTTTGAAGGGTGATTAGTAGCTTCTCCCCTAAATAACTCCTTAAATATTTTTTCCTTTTAATTTTTAAATTTAACTTTTAAATTTAAATATGATTTGTTTCTTTACCTTTTAGTGAGGATACCTTATTTGTCTTCTGGGCTTTTTGTTTTTGGCCGGCAGCACCTGGCATCTAGTGGGTAGAGGCCAGGGATGCTGCTAAATGTCTTCTACAGGACATTCCCACAACCAAGAATTATCCAGCCCAAGAAGTCAATAGTGCCAAGGGGGAGAAACCCTGCTGTAAAATAACCACCTTCAGACTTGACCACACATCCAAACAGCAGCATCCAGAAGATTGCCGGCGCCTTATGCAGAGTCAGAGAGCCTGTCCCCCGCTACAGGCAGCCCTGGCTCCTGGAGCCAACAGCAGAGCCTCCACCTGTTCATTGCTGTATCCACCTGGGAAGGAGTTCTCCTCTCCCTTGTAGTACGGAGCCGAAGCTGTTTTACAGCATGAAATTTGAAAGACTTAGCACTAGAAGAAGCTTGATGTCGACTCATTCGTCTTACATTTGCATCTGCTCCTGAGCCATTTCACTCAGGGCCGCTATTCCAATTTCAAAGCTATAATCTTTGTAACTTTTTCTAGACCTTATGTCGGTCTGTGGTAACCTATTCTGGTGCCGAAGTTTTTCTTACATCTAACCTAAAATCTTGCTGCAGATTTGCTTCAGTTTTTGTTTATTTACCAGCAAGTTTGTATAACTACCCGTTGTATTTTTGAGGTATGTTGCTGGGCAGCTTTCTACTGTGGTTGCCTGTAATATTAAGCCTTTAAATAATTTTTATAGTCACCCATTTTTACAACTCGAATCTGAACTTCCTTTGAGTTTGAAAATGGAGGCTTGAGTCACATGCAATTCTGACCAGTACTGTGCTTATAATGCTTTTAACGGGCACTTTTGTTATTGCTGACAACTCACAGGCCCTAAGCTCCGGTCCTTTTCCTGCTGTGTCCCTCGTCCTTTCCCGCCTTATATTTAATACACTCTGCTCATCCCCGCTCCTGCCATCCCTGTGTGCGCATATTGCTACTTGTCCCCGTTTCATTTGTTTTAATCTTATTGGCTTGTGGTGTGTTTTACGTTATTCCACTTTAATTCTCACCATGGAGGTATTTCCCTGCTCGCTGGTACTATTCGCTGAACATGCTTTCAAGTTCTTCATCCAGGTCGGCGACAGCGATGTTCAGAATCAGCCACATCAGACCCGACCTCAGCCACCACCTCAGAGCCTGAGTAACCTTCTTATGAGGCTCACCGTAAATCCTTGATACTCTTGCTTTGAAATTGAGCCTCTTGCTTTGAACTTGATCCTCTTATATGTTTTATATACTCTTCAATAGTTGAATGATAGAGCTGTGGTATCCACATAGAACTTTCTACGATAGTGGAAATGTTCTGTATTTTGTGGTAGCCACTAGTGACGTGTAGCTATTGAGCAGTTGCCAAGTGGCTTGTGTGACCAAGGAGCTAAATTTAAGGTTTAATTTAATTAAAAATTTTAAATAGCCTCATGTGGCTAGTGTCCACCTATTGGACAGTGCAGATCTATCACATTGCTACCCAAAATGTGGTCCTCAGACCAGCAGCATTGCCGTCACCTGGGAGCTGGCTAGAAATGCAGAACCTCAGGCCCATCTGGCATTACTGAATTAGATCCCCAGGTGATTTCTATGCACTCTCAAGCTTGAGAAGTGCTAATGCTTGGCTGTACCTTGGAGTCAAATGGGGAGCTTTTAAAAATATTGTTGCCTGGGTCCTGACTGCAGTGATTCTGATTTAATTAGTATTAGGTGTGGCCTGGGCACTGGGATTTGCTAAGAGCATCCCCCATGTGATTCTAATGGCCCAGCAAAAATTTGTGGAGCTCATATGTTGTGTGTATCCAGATCACCTGGGAATTCTATAAAAATATAAAGGCCCAGGCTCTCTCTTGCTTCAGCAAGCCTGCGTCTGTGCATTCTTTACCAGCTGTCCAATGATTCTGATACACATACTTTGGGTTGGAAAATCCCAGATCTAGAAGATAGTTTCCCACTTCGTTGGTAATTGTCATGTAATCTGGAATGAAATGCCTTGCTGATTTGAAAGCAAATGAATCCACTAGACCTTTTAGTCATGGGTCTAAATGAATGATTTATGCATGAATACTTGTTTTTCACAAAGTGTTAGTTGGTGAATTTCTGGTTTCTAAGATCAGTTTTTCTCTTCCTTTTGATAGATAGAAGTGTCATTCACATTTTGGTTTTCAGAATTGCTAAGACTTCTGCTGATGACAGCTGGTTGCTTCATGGTCAGTTTGCCAGTTCCTTAGGGTGCAAGCCTCTGGATCAGAATGTTCCATAATGCAGAAGTGTGAGAATCAAGGAAAGCCCAACCCCCTGTGCCCAGCACAGCCCCAGGGACAGTCAGATGCAGCACGTCAGCTGATGGAGGTTGGCATGGAGGGACGATTTAGAGGTGTCTGGAACATTCCGATCCCAGCTCATTCCAGACTTTAGGCTGTAGGGTCAGGAGGGCTGCATTTGGCAGGGTTCTATCTTTGGAGTTGGGAAAGGGGATGGATAACTAGCTGACTCTTTTTGTTCTCTTTAATGTGCTTAGTTTTCTATCAGCTAAAACCTTTTGTGACATAGCTCACTTTTTATATGTTAGTGCAGCTGTCCCTTGTTAGGACCTGTGTTTATTAGCTGTTTGTTTCTGGGATAAAAATTAAGGATGGTTTGGAAAATATGTTAGAAACAAACTCATTTTCTCTATAAAAAGTAATTGCTATTAAAAACATGCCATAAAACTGTCTTCCTCCTCTGATTACCAGCTTCAATTTCAATCCTCGTGTTTCTTACAGTAAAATTTTAGGCGCAAAGAGAATTTAATGTGTATGGTTTTTGACCTGTGACGATTTCAGGACCCCAGTAGCAAGTCAGCAGCATATTGCTGTCCTGGCCCAGATAATGGGAGCTCTGAAATCAAATATGTTGTGGAAAAGCAGTAATAAGCTGGGTTTTAGTGGAGATTAACTAGACTATGTGGTCTCTCTGGCAGCCATAGATAAGGAAGAATGAGATGAAAGAGCCCAGAAGGAGGCTCCCTGAGCACTAGAAGGACACAGATTTGTTCTCTTAAACGGAGGCCCGTCCTCATAGGAAGCTGCGATCCCAGCTGCATCGTGGGGAACCAACTTAATAACCAGGACTATCCTGGGCACCCCTTCCCCGTGAATTTCAGAGGACCTTGGTTGAATAGAGGCTTCCTGGGTCTCACCTGAAGCAAAAATGTAACTTCTGGGCAAACCGATGCCAGGTTTGGAGGCAGGGCTTGGAGGCCCACCCTCACTAACAGCTTTCCTCAGTGAGGAAACTGGAGCCTGTGGGATTAGTGTGAAAACTCTTCTGAACCCAGAGACTAGGGTGCGGTCTGTGACCCTAGTCAGGGGTACACAATAGGGTTCCACCATCGAGGTGAGCATGGTTCTCCTGGCCATGGCGGCAGACTCCATAAATGCCTCTTTCTTGTCGGTTCACAGAATAAAAATCAGTAGCCCACTGGGCTTAGGTGGTAATGGGCGTGAGGAGGCATCTCTTTAAGTATTGTTGGCAGGCCTCCGTGGTGGATCGCAACCTGGCGGTTAGTGTGGGGAGAGGCAGTTGGGCACAGAATGAAAAGATGGGGAGGATTTGGTCAGGAAGCATGACAGTGCCCCCAGCTCTGCAAAAGGCTATTTGTTTCTGCCTCGCCTATGTTCTTGTTTCATGACTAGGCCAGTACTTAAATGTGAAACTCAGATGGGAAGGCATACACTACTGATGATAGCAGGGTAGAGAGTCAGGCCTTTTGCAGGGGTTAACTTTTTTTTTTTTAATCCTTACCTGAGGACATGTTAGAGAGAAGAAGGGAGGGAGCGAGAAAGGAAAGGAAAGAGAGAGAGAGAGGGAGAGAGAGAGGCATCAATATGAGAGAGAAACATTGATCGGTTGCCTTCTGTATGTGCCCTGACTGGGGACCAAACCTGCAACCCAGGCATGTGCCCTGACCTGGAATCTAACCGGCAGCCTTTAGGTGCACAGGACGACCCTCAACCGAGTCACTCTGGCTGGGCAGCGGTCAACTATTTTTAATATATATTCAATAGGTGGGAGGAGAACTTTTTTTTCTTTCCCTTTTGAGGGAGAGGGGGAGCATTTGGAAAGGCATGGACTCTGGTGGAATTTGGTGTTTTGAAATGAATGCTCTCTGACTTTGCTTTTCCCTTTGGCTGTGTACCTAGTGTGTGTCATTTCCTGGAGCTGTGTCAAAGCCCAGACGGTGGCTTTGGAGGGGGCCCTGGCCAGTACCCACACCTCGCACCCACCTATGCAGCAGTCAATGCACTGTGCATCATTGGCACCGAGGAGGCCTATGACGTCATTAACAGGTACAGCCAAAGCCGGCGGTGATGGAGATGCATGCAGAGGGCTCCTCCCTGCTGACACTGCGCTGACCATTGCCGTCTCCTGCCTCTCCCACTCCTTTTTCAGAGAGAAGCTCCTGCAGTATTTATATTCTCTGAAGCAACCTGATGGCTCTTTCCTCATGCATGTTGGAGGTGAGGTGGATGTGAGGTGAGTGGGGTTTTTCTCAGGCTGCTGCACCAGTAGGTTCTAGAGCTCACCTGCCACTAGAGATGCCAAACCCAAGGACCAACATGCTGAAGCTGCTGCTTTGTCACAGAATGACACGTAGAGTGATGTGCTGGGGACACAGTATCACAGTCATTGCGGAGATGTCCTGTGTGATGGTCACTAGACTTCTTTTCTGTAAATATGAACATATAATCAAGACAGAAACAAAATCAATTGCTCTTGTTTTAAAAGTTAAGAATATATTTATTTGATATAAAATGACATACCATAATATATAATAACCATATAGTGTCATATAATCTTTCATCTCTCTGGGATGGGAAGGGAGAAGAAAGCCCAGCAGGGACTTAGTGAATATTTCCTGAATGGATTTGATGAAACCATGAGCCTGTTTAACACCTGCGTGAGGGTGCTTTGGGAGTGCAGTGAAATAGACTTGCATTAACTGATTGGAACCAGTTGGTGCAAAATTATTATTTAACTCAAGAATTGCTGATGTACCTCGCAAGTAGCTTACTCACCTGGCAGACGATTGCTCAGGAAGCATATAGAGAATTCACTGAATAAGTCACTTCTCAGTGGCAGCTGATCATTGAGATTTTATACCAAATTCTTATTCCTTAGTCTGAGAAATATATTTTTATGAGATTTCTGTATCAAAGCCATGTTGTTGCCTATTTGTAAGTGTGTTTGCTCCTATATGAGTTGATTCATATTCTGGCCTAACCATTGATTTGAAGGTATAAGGGAAGAAAAACCCATGGCAATCGTGGAGTATAAAATACATTGCAGAGAAAAGTAGGCAGCTGGGCTGCAGAGGCCTTAGATAAAGGATTTTCTTCTATCTCTGACCTGTCTGTTCCAACCAAAAAATGAGTATAGGTATCTGCCAGAGAAGCTGTCTTTTCTATTCTGGACACTTCTGACACTGGATGTGTGTTTTTCCCTCATGTTAAACAGTTCTGACACTAACTACCCAGAGTTAGGACAGATACCGCAGGTTAAGGACTCGGTCCCACAAGAATGCCACTAGTTCAGATGCCAGTCACCAGTAGTGTGTCCCCAGGTTACCCACACTCCTGCCTGACTTGGCTGCAGATTGGGGGTTCCTGTGATGCCCTCCTCAGCTTCAATAATTTGCTAGAATGGCTCACAGAACTCAGGGAACCACTTTACTATTGTTGGTTCATTCTAAAGGATATTATAAAGGATACAAATTAGCAGCCAGATGAAGAGGTATATAAGGCAAGTTCTGGAATGTTCCAGAGCTCAGGAACTTCTGTCCCCATAAAGTCGGGGTGTGCCATGCCTCCGGCAGGCACATGATGCATTTATCAACCCAGAAGCTCCCTGAACCCCTCATTTAGGGCTTTTGTGGGGGTTCCATTATGTAGGCATGATTGATGAAGTCATTGGCCATTGGCAATTAACCCAATCTCCAGCCCATTTCCCCTGGAGAGTGGGGCTGAAAGTTCCAACCTTCAAACACATAGTTCCTTCCTCTGGAAACCAGCCTCCATCCTCTAGGAGTCACCTCAGGTATGGTTGAGTGGAGCTTGTTATAAATTTCAAAACACTGTCCTATCACACATATAACTCAGAATATTCCAGGGGGCATAGGATCTCTGTGCCAGGAACTGGGGAGAAGACCAAATATCTGTTTATTATATCACAATGTCTCATATCTGTTGTTAAAAGATAAACTGAGGCACATTAAAGATTTTTATCAGGCAGATTACCTAACTAGTGCTGACCAGGCCATTCCTGATCGGCTGGTTTAAGGTGCCATTTCTGGGAGAGCTGAAGCTGTAACTAAGTATTGGTTTTGCATAAGTGACTCCATTTTGGGCCTCTTACCTTGTTTCTAACACTGTATAGGCCAACAAAGCCAATATAACTATCGAGGAAAAGCAATATAGTATCGTGTAGATGCTTCTTAAGGAAAAGTTAAAAGATAATTTTTTCTTTCAAGGTCACTACATTTTGATTCCGGTTCTGTAGATATTCCAACCAAATATGCAGTCTTGAAGTTTAGCTTTTTAAAACTTCCTGAGATTATTAGGCAAAAGCCAACAAACCCTGGCAAGATTGCTTTGGCATTTTATCACATATGTAGGTGACAGGGCATAGAGTGTGTTCCAGAAAGAAGTTCCGTGCTGCTCAAGTTTAGAGGGTCGAGGGGGCAGTGGGAGAATGGGGGCTGGAAGGACCGGCGGGGAACAGGTGAGGGTCCCCCAAATCTTACGAAGCCCAGCGTTAATTTAAGGGCGGTGGGAAGCCACTGACAGGTTTCAAGCAGGGAGTGATGTGATCTGACTGGATGTGATGTGATCTGTATATTATGAGTTCCCTAGGTGTAATGAACAGATTGTAGTATTTTAGCAAAAGTCTTCTGGTTTCAGGGCTGGAGGGAGGAAGGCCAGACAGGAGATTGGTCCAGGTCATGGTGACTTGGATTTGGGTGATAGCAGAGTGGATGGAGAGCAGGGGACAGATTGGAGAGACGTGGTGACTGGATGGAGGGAGAGAGGAAGAAACTGCACCAAAAAGAAGTATTTTGTTCCCTCCCCGCGTCAGCGTGAGAGCTGGGGCTCGGCAGCGGCTCCTGGCAGCCCGTCCCCGCCCCTCCATTGGGGAGGACACACTACATTTTTGGCCACCTCCCTACCTCAGAGGTTACATTAGGATTCAAGAGCAAATACTTGCGAACCCCTTTGAAGGGCTCGAGACCTGAAGGACGTTAGATCAGACCTTCGAAGTTAGCTCCTGGGAGGCGGTAACATTTGGCGCATGGGACTGTCGCGTGGGCCTGATGCCTCCCGGAGCACCCGGCCTCCGCGCGCCTTCGGCCAGCCGAGCGGCTGAAAAAGATGCTCGCGGGGGACAGTGCTGCGGCTCCTGCAGGGATTTCCTTGGAACAGACGCCTCCCTAAGTTTGGCCTAGTGTTATGAATAATATGGAGACTAGCATCTCCTTGTTCCTCCCTCTTATAGTTTCTTAGGAGGCCTTAGAGAGGATTTGTTAGCAAAGTGAGAATTTTTGTCTTCAACCTAAAATGGAGCTGAGATGCTGGCTATTTGAAAAGATTGTAGGAGGGAAGGAAAGACCATCTGAAATACATGTGTCCTGAGGACGGTGAGGGCTGGCAGAATTATTCCAAATAAAGTAGGACGTTAAAAAATAAAAAGGCGTGTTCTTTTTCTTTTAAAAGTGTGTGTGTACCTGTGTGTGTGTGTGCGTGTGTGTACTGGTGGGCGCTTGAAATCAAAGTTTTTTCTCCTTCTAGAGGCCTAAGGAATGTATCTGAGTGGGCTCATCCATTCCTCTCTGATCCAAGCAGCCATGAAGGTCTGGTGGCCTGTTTTGCAATGTGCTCGTTGCAGGAAAAAAATACAGTTCAGCTTTAGTGTGTCCGTGCCACAAACAGATGGAAATCCTGGCTCTAAAACAGTACTGACATCTGAATGAGGGAGCGGATCAGAAGTGCCCGAATGACACCATGGAATTTTGGAGCTAAATTCACTTTTGACATGAACTGATATGGCTGTTATTTCCTCTGATGTAGATGTGACCATGTGGAGGTAGGGAGAATAGAATGTCATGTTCTTTCACTGGGACCATGCTGTGAGCAACTCGATCCAAATAAAATGTCAAACCTCTCAGTTGGAGACCCAGGAGGACTGACCCTGTGCCAAGAGTGAGGACAGGAGGTGATTACAGCTTACCAGGCAAAGAGAGCAATCTGCCCAAGAAGCTCAGTGAGCCTTATTTAGGCTCTTCCTTAAACCTTAACACTTTTCCCTCTATTTTCTGTCCTTGCAGAAGTGCGTACTGTGCCACCTCGGTAGCTTCTCTGACCAACATCATCACTCCAGACCTCTTTGAGGGCACTGCTGAATGGATAGCAAGGTGAGAGAAGCTGGGATGTGTCTTGGCCTCTAGGATAGCAGGTGGTCAAAGATTTCTGGAAAAATAAATAATATGAAAAAGGACTGAAAGAGAAAATAAAATTATAAGAGATGTATTAGGGTTGTAGCATTGTGCATTTCTAAGTTACTTTATTATTAATTTATTTTTTTAAATATATCTTTATTGATTTCAGAGAGAGGAAAGGAGAGGGAGAGAGACAGAAACATCAATGATGAGAGAGTCATTGATCGAGCCCGCAACCCGGGCATGTGCCCTGACCAGGAATCAAACCCTGATCGCCTGGATCCTAGGTCGATGCTCAACCGCTGAGCCACGCCTGGCCGGGCTCTAAGTTACTTTAAAGGTTTCCTTTTTCCCAAACTTTCTTTAATGTTTTATTCCAGTTTAGGTTGGCAAAGATAAAAAACTTGGTTAGACTGCGGTAATAGTGGGAGTTTAAATGGATTTATCCAGTTTGGAGAGCAATTTGGTAATATCTCAAAGTAGCCCTTGCTGATGACCAGTAATTCCACTCCTGCAGAAACTCTCACACAGATGCATGAGAGAGACAAACATAGGACTTGTTTATAATAGCACAAAGCTGGAAACAGGTTGAATGTTCATAAGCACAAGATGGATCAGTAAGTTTTGGTATAGGCACATGGGAGTATAGCCATAATATAGCCATTAAAGTGGATGAACGAGAGCTGCATGTATCAACATGGACAAATCTCAAAACTGTTGAGTAAAAAAGGGGGATGTTAAAACATGCCAATCAGGATATTTACTTAAAAATTTAAAATATGGCCTGGCCAGGCGTGGCTCGGCAATTGGGCATCGACCTGGGATCTGGGAGGTGGCAGTTCGGTGCCCGGTCGGGGCACATGCCCTGGTTGTGGGCTCGATCCCCAGTTGGGGGCGTGCTGGAGGCAACTAATCAGTGGCTCTCATCATTGATGTTTCCCTCTCTCTCTCCCTCTCCCTTCTTCTCTCTGAAATCAATAAAGATATATTTTTTAAAAAATTAAAATATGCAAACAATTCTATATTGTTTATGGAAAGAATCACACGTAATAATATAAAAACATGCATGGGAAAGATAAACACCAAATTCAGGATGGTGGTTACATCTGGGGATAGAGCAAAGGAAATGAGGTCAGGGAAGGTCTACACATCTCCACAGAAGACTTCAACTGCAATTGTTTATTTCTTTTTTTGTTTTGTTTTTGTAATCCTCACCCAAGGATATTTTTTCCACTGATTTTCAGAGAGAGTAGAAAGGAGAGAGGGAGGTAGATAGATAGAGAGAACATCCATGTGAGAGGTACACATTGATTGGTTGCCTCCTGCACACGCCCTGACCAGGGCTGGAGGTTGAACCCACAGCCCAGGTACATGCCCTTGACTGGGGAATCGAACCTGAGACCCTGCAGTGTGCAGACTGACTCTCTAACCACGGAGCCACACCGGCTCAGGCTGTAATTCTTTCTTTCTTTCTTTTTATTTTTTAAAAAAATATCTTTATTGATTTCAGAGAGAGTAAGGGCGAGGGAGAGAGAGAGAGAGAAACATCAACGATGAGAGAGTCATTGATCAGCCTCCTCCTGCACACCCCACATTGGGGATCAAGCCCGCAACCCGGGCATGGGCCCTGACCGGGAATCGAACCTCGATCGCCTGGATCCTAGGTCGATGCTCAACTGCTGAGCCACGCTGGCCGGGCTAATTATTTATTTCTTTAAAATGGTTTTAAAAACCCTGATATGTACATAGTTAAATTAAAGGTAGGTATTAGATACATGTATGTTCTATATATTATTTCCTATACTTTCCTGGATGCTTCAAATATTTCATCATTAAAAAAAAAAGAAAACACAAAATATAGTAGATACATATGGATATTATAGAAAGATACCCGAACTGTATTGTTTTATTTTTTACAGTTTTATTTTTATCAAAGTACTACTACTTATTACTATGAAATATAATTTACAGCTAAACCTGATGAAATACTATGATCATATTTATTTTTTTGTATAACTTGTATTTTCTTAGAATTAATCATTACCTCTTTTTTAAAATGTTTATATCATGAATTCATCCCCAAGCTTTCTGCCAGAGCTATAAATTACTCTCAGTACAGTCAAACACTTCAGGTCATGTATCAATTCTCTTGTGTGTGTGTGTATTTGTGTGTGCGCGCGTGCATGTATGTATCTTGAGTTATCCCACCTAGAGCCCTCTGCCCTCCTGCTTCTGCCTGGACAGATTGCTCTCAGCTTGCCTCACAGCAGGCCTCCAGAAGCTTCCTTTCAGCATGACATTCACTTCACTTCTCTGCTTTGTTGAAGCCCTGTCCTCCCTTCCCTTGGTCTACTAACATTTTATTTAAAAAATTTTTTATTAATTTTAAAAAATATATCTTTATTGATTTCAGAGAGAGAAATGGAGAGGGAGAGAGAGAGAGAGAAACATCAATGATGAGAGAGCCATTGATCAGCTGCCTCCTGCATGCCCCGACTGGGGATCGAGCCCGAAACCCGAGCATATGTCCTGACCAGGAATCAAATGCCCGGGCTGGGCTTACTAACTCATTTTAATGAAGCACATATTCCAATAAATCTTCCAAAACAGCAGTTGGGTGATACATTTAAAATTAATTTAATTTAATTAATTTATTTTTAAATATTTTAATTTTTTTTTTTTTTTTTTTAAGAGAGAGAGGAAGGGAGAGGGACAGAGAGAGAGAAACATTGATGCTAGGGTGAAACATTGATTAGCTGCCTCTAGCACAGCCCCCTCCCCCACTGGGAATCAAGCCTGCACCCAGGCATGTACCCTGACCCGGAATCGAATTGGCAACCTGTTGGTGCGTGGGACAATGCTCAGCCAACTGAGCCACACTGGCCAGGGCTCCTGTGTTTGCTCTTTTAATACCATCCTATAAGTAGGGTTGGTCTTCTAATTTTTCAAACATTCTTTGCCAATTTTTCATTTCTTAATCTTTCTTATGCACTTTCTGAGAGATTCCTTTATCTTTTATCTTCTAATTCTTCTGTTGTTTTATTTTTGCAGTTCTATTTAAAATTTTCCAGAGCTTATTTTATCTTCACTTATAACAAAGAATGCTTCTTTCTTACATACTCTCCTGTTCTTGTTTTAGGAATATTTTATACCAACAGTATTTTTATTTTGTATTATGTTTTATCTAGAAACAACTTCTAAGAAGTTTACTTCTGCTTCCTGCGTTATTTCCTCCAATTTATTTTTGTTTGGGACTATCTCTTTACTATTGGAGACTTCATTCACATGTCTGGTGTTAGGAGTCAAGTGCTAAAATCTGATGGGGAGCTAAGTGTGCCAGGCAGGCTAGGATCCAGCCATTCACTGGGGAATTCTCATATATCAGTATCTGTAGGGGTTTTTTCTTGGTCGTGTGAGTTTCCCTCAAGAAGAATCTTTCAGACTCCTGGTTGGGGTATGAAGTTGGCTGCCAGGTTTGTGAAACATTAGCAGGGAAAGAGGTTGGGAGTGTTTACGTTCAGATTGTGGACTAACTTAACTCCCTGCTTAGTATAGATTCTTGCTCTCAGATGTCCTGGATGTCCTGGAATTCAGGTCTCCTGAAACCACCCTTCTGCTGGGTTTCAGTACTTTTGCTGGGTACCTGGAGGTCTAACTGATTCTTATATAAATTTGCAACCAATCAACTTGGTTCAAATGCATCCCACTCGTAGCGGCTCCTTGTGTCTCCAGTCCCTGGGCCTTTTGGTGGAGCGGATCACCTTGCTTTCTGCTGCTTCCCTCCCCTCCCCGTGCTGGTTTAGGTCTCTATTCTTTGGTCATTTACTTCTCCTGTCTCTTCTTTTCTAGCTTTCAGAATTTATCTCCTGCCTATTCATACTCTCTCCTATTCTCTTATCCCTTTTAAAATTTCATTTTTTGGGGCTCTTGTGTTCAATCCTTTATGTTTAGTGAGAGGACACTCCCAAAGAATTTTACCAAGTTGCTTCCATGCATGTGCAAACAAAGGGAGGGAAAGTGGAGTGTATATATATATATATATATATATATATATATATATATATATATA